GCTTTAACCTTCATAGCAACGAGAATATATTTTGGTTTGTTAGCAACAAAATTAGGCTTCTTTGAAGCTTATATCACAAAAAACAGCGTTTTTGCTTTTTGTTGAGAAAGACGTTGCAATCAGCTTTATAGCATCATACCATATTTTGGTTTGTTCGCCGTAAAATTGTGTTGTTGACAGCGTTATTGCCCCAGGAAAAAGTATTCTTCCAGTTTGCAGCGAGTCACCCTGCTTTTCGCTTGGTTTTACTCAAAACAACGTTTTTGCTTGTGTTTGGCTAAGTTACAACGGTTTTGCTAGCTTTTGGCTAGGTTGTGCTGTTTTCAGAATCATCTTTCTGAGAACAACGTTTTCTTCTTTTTCGTTACCAAACTACCCTTGTTAATTACGCTGCTTTCAGTTTGATCGCACCAAAAACATGTTTTTGTTTGTTGGCAACTAAATTGGGCTGCTTTGAGCTTTATGTTGCGTGCTGCTAAAACACGGTGTTCTCAGCTTTATAGCACCAAAAACGTGTTTTGCTTTCTTTGCCGTCAAATTGGGCATTTTGCAGCGGTAAATAAATTTCTTTTCCAATTTTTTACGAGTGACGCTGATTTTTACTTGATGGCACTCAAAACAACGTTTTAGTTTGTTTTTTGGCTAAGTTACGCTGTTTTAACCATTATCTTTCTAAGAACAACCTTTACAACTTTTTCCTACATGAAATACGTTTTTGACGCTTTAACTTGTTTGCAGCGAATTTGAGCTGGTTTGAGCTTTGTGTCATAAAATAGAGCGTTTTTCCTTTTCCGTGTTTAAAATAAGCTGCTTTAAGCTTTATTGCAGCAAAAAAAATTTGGTTCCTGTGCCGTAGAATTTTGCTGCTTCCAACGATATTGCATAGGGAAATGGTTTCCTGCTAGTTTGTAGTGAGTGACGTAGATTTTTACCTAATTTTATTGATTTTACTTAAAGTAGCGTTTCTGCTTTTCTTCTGCTAAGTTACGCTGTTTTCTTTGTTTTGTAACTAAACTACACGACGCTCTATCTTACCGAAAACATGTTTTGGTTCGTTCGCAAGGAAAATGGGCTGTTTTGAAATTTAGATCTCAAAAAACAACCTTTTTCCTTTTTGTTGCTAAAATACGTTGCACTCAGCTTTATAACAGAAAATACATTTTTTTATTTGTTTGCCATAAAATTTAAATTCAGCCTTATTGAACAGAAAAAAGTTTTCTTCCAGTTTGCAGGGAGTAACTTTTAGTTTCATTGATTTTAATCAAAACAACGTTTTCGTTTGTTCTCGTACCTTAAACGCCCAGTATAGGTACGAAAAAAAAGGAAAAGGCTGTTCTGGCAAACATAATACTGAAAACAGCGTAACTTACCTGAAAATAAACGGAAACGCTTGTTTTGAGTAAAATCAAGTAAAATTCAAGGTGAATCGCTGCAAACTGGCGCTGTTCTGGCAAACATAATACTGAAAACAGCGTAACTTACCTGAAAATAAACGGAAACGCTTGTTTTGAGTAAAATCAAGTAAAATTCAAGGTGAATCGCTGCAAACTGGCGCTGTTCTGGCAAACATAATACTGAAAACAGCGTAACTTACCTGAAAATAAACGGAAACGCTTGTTTTGAGTAAAATCAAGTAAAATTCAAGGTGAATCGCTGCAAACTGGCGGGAAACATTTTTCTGGTGCAATATCGCAGGAAACCGCCCAATTTTACGGCAAACAAACCATAACATGTTTTTCCTACAATAACGCTAAACGCAGCGTATTTAAAACACAGAAAGGTAGAAATGCTCATTTGTGACGTAAGGCTCAAGGTAACCTAATTAAGTTGCCAACAAGCCAAAACATTTTTTCGGTATAGGGCGTCCAAACTGTGGTTTGGTTACGGAAACAGAGAACAAAGTTGTCCTCAGAAAGACGATTCTGAGACAGCGTAACAACCAAAAGAAAGAAAAAACCGTTGTTTGAGTAAAATCAAGTGAAAATCAGGTTGACTCCCTGCATACTGGAAGAAGGCCCTTTTTTTGGTGCAATAGCACTGAAAACAACCCAATATTACAGGAAACAAACCAAAACATGTTTTCAGTGATGAGTCTAACGCGTTTTAGCAACGAAAAAGCAAAAACGCTTTTTTTTTTTGTGACAAGAAACTCAAAGCAGCGCGATTTTGTTGCCAACATACAAAAACGTATTTTCGCTTCTATGAGACTCAAAAAAGGGTATTCACAAACGAAAAACGAAATCGCTGTCTTTTTGTAACAAAAATGCTCGAAACATCCGATTTCATTGGCAACACGCCTAAACATGCTTTCGATAAGATAAAGGGTCAAATGCACAGTTTACGTATGAGCGTCAAAGAATGTAGTTTGGTTACGAAAACAGAGGTAAAGGTTGTTCTCAGAAAGAGGATTCTAAAACAGCGTCACTTAGCCAGACACAAGTAAAAAACGTTTTTTTGAGTAAATTGAAGTAAAAATCCAGGCTGACTCGCTGCGAACTGGAAGAAAACTTTTTCCATGTGCAATAACGCTGGCAACGACACAATTTTACGGCAACCAAACCTAATATGCTTTTTATGGTATATAGCTGATTCCAACTTGTTTTAGGAATAAAAAAGCAAAAACGTTTTTTTTTTGTGATATATAGCTCAAGGAAGCCCAGTGTTGTTGTTAACAAAGCAAAACATATTGTGGGTGCTATGAAGCTTGAAGCTTGAACACGAGAAACTAAAAAATAGTGGCACAAGTAAAGCTGATTTCATTTCCGTCATCGAAGGCCTACGCCTATTTGAGGTAACTCCAACAAACCTTTTATATACAGGTCATAATTTTCGGCTTTAAACGTCCAGAAACTTTGTTGACTATGTAAAACAGGGAATACACATTGCTTACAACTGACTGTTTCCCTGTTCAAACTGGCTCAAACTAGCCCCAACTCCCTGCCTCGTCGTATATCCATTAAGCAGTTGCCTCGTCGTATATCCATTAAGCAGTTGCCTCGTCGTATACAACCGCACCAGAGGGAGATCATACATCAACAGCTGGACGAGCCGCTAGCGCATGGTAGAGTTCAAGAATCGCAGAGCCCCTGGAGCAGTCAGGTTGTTTTGGTAAGGAGACATGATGGAAGTTACCGTATGTGGATTGATTACCGCAAACTGAATTTGTGTACATCGAAAGATGCAATACCGTTAGCGAGGACCGATGATGTCTTGGAAGCGCTGGAAGGTGGCCAATGGTTTTCCTGTCTGGATTTGGCGTCTGGGTATCGGCAGATGCAAGTAAAAGAAGGAGACAGACACAAAACAGCATTCTCGACCCATCGTTTTTGACTGCACAATGAAGCCGAATTGGTTCCAATAGTTCAAATTGTCTAACTGGCTTAATCTATTGGACTGGCCAAAAACATCAAACCAGCGAAGACTGTTAATCTGACAGCAAAAAAAAAGCAACATCTTTCTCGGTTCGTTGAAGGAGTTCAACTTGTCAAATTTCCCCAAGTGGTCTAAGTGCACAGGATGCATAAAGCTTTATAGGTTCAATCTAGAAATCTCCACAAAGTAGCTAGATTTGTCCAAGTTATTGAAACGGTCCTAGTAGCTGAGATCGTTCCACTGGTTTGGTGGTCAAACTAGTGAACAAAGTTGCAGAATCTAATCTATCGTTGAAGTCGTTCAAAATGTGAAAGTAACTCATTATTCTTGAAACTGCACAGAAACTTCACAATCTAGCTGAATTGTTTCAAGTAGTTAAGATTGTCAAAGTAGCCTCATCGATTCAACTGATTGAAAGGTCAAACCAGCAAAGACACTCAAACTGCACAAATTGCTCATTCTATATGAATTGGTTGAAGCAGTTCAAATGGTCAAACTGACTAATATGGGCTAATCACACATATTCATTGAAAAGCCAAACTAGTGTGGACAATCATACTCCAAAAATAGCCCAATCTGGTTCACGTGGTTGAAATGGTCAAACTAGTTTAACTTGCTCAACTGCATATACCGCAAGATTTAACTGAATTTTTTCATGACAAATCAGCTTAATTGCTTCGACTATTAGAATAGTCAAAGTAGCGGAAACGGTTAAACTGCACAAATTGTACTCTCTATCTCGACTAGCTGAAGTAGGTGAAATGTTCGAACTAGGTTAAATGCTTCAACTGCACAATATGCACACTTAGCTTAAGAGTTTGAACTGCAGAAACGGCACAATCTATCATACATGGATGGAACGGTTAATTAGTCCAACTAGGGAAGAATGGAAAAGAAAAACCAACGAGTTAAAACTGTAAAAGTTGGAAATGCAAGGAAGGCTGAAGAGAGAAGAAAAGGAAAGACAAGGAAGGATGGAAGAAAAGGACAGACAAGAAAGGATGGAAGAGAAGGACAGACAAGAAAAGATGGAAGAAAAGGACAAACAGGAAAGGTGAAATTTAATGTCACCGAGTATCTTAAGTTGGTATTTCCATTTCAGCAAGGAGATGCTGATAAGAGTTTCTTGCACTTTGAGAAAGTAGCTGGCAATCTGAAGTGGCCCACGGATTACTGGGTAATTCAATTACAGAGTGTACTAGTCGGTAAAGCGAGAAAAATTTAAACACAGTTAAGTGTAGAGCAAGCTGCAAGTTATGACACTGCTAAGGATATTATTTTAAAGGGTTCTGAAATAGTTGCGGAGGCTCTGAGACCGTCAGAAAATCAATAGTCAAACTTATGCAGAATTTGCTAGAAGTAAGGAACAGTTATTTGATCGTTGATGCCATTTGCAGAGGGTAGATGAGAGTCACGATAGGTTAATGACAGCTAGTTTAAATAGAGGAGTCTAAGCGGTGCAATCACAGTGATGTCCGAACGATTGTCGATGAGCAAAAAGCACAAACATTAGAGAAAGGTGCACGACTAGCAGATGAGCTTTGGTTGAGGCACAAAGTGAACTTCATGGAAAAACCCCATCAACTTCAAACTTCACCCGCTAGAGTTCTGCCTCCTTCGGTACCACAATGGTTAGCAAAACCAGAGAAGTCGGCAGAATGACGAAGGACATCCAAAGCAGAATCCTGCTAACAATTATGGGAATCGTTTCAGCTCCTCATGGTCAAGACAGAACAAGTTTGATCGAGGTAAGCCCATCAAGCCACCGACATGTTACTTTTCCAGAAAAGCTAGTCGGCTGCTTTCTAGCTACCCGGAAAAGTGGAGAGTGGTGCCTAAGCGTGATGGTCTTCTCGCTAAGACATTGTCTAAGAGAGAAGACTCAAGCAAGTGCTGTGAGTGAAGTCAGTGGCCCCTGAAAATCTGTCATGGATCTTTTTCAGCCCTTCACCCACGATGGTTCGGTGTCATTGTCAACTGATACGTCCAACTCCATATCAAGCAAGATCTTGTCAGGCACTGAAGCCTGACAGTCTCTATTGCTGAGTGACACTTTTTTTTTTTTCTGAGAAGTTGTCCACTTGTGCGAGTGTTCTAATAAGAGGAATCAGTTCCAAGTATACCCGGTGCCACCGTATACAGTATACACCAGTATACATTAGTAGTTGTCAATGCTATTGTCACCGACAATCGTTGTTAAGAAAAGTCTCCAGAGCCAGTAGAGAGGACAATTCTCCGTCTGTACCCATAATGTATCGTGACGCGAGACATTAGTAAGAGGTTAGAAACCAGAGACAAAAGAGGTAAGCCATCAGCCAGGTCCTTACGGGTGAGCAACCGAATCCCTCTTTCTCTCAGCCAGTATAAGTACTTTCTGTGAAGGTGACACGGCCATTAGCCAGGTCCTTACGGGCGAGCAACCGAATCCCTCTTTCTCTCAGCCAGTATAAGTACTTTCTGAGAAAAGTTCAATGGAACAGGTCGAAAAGATCTCAACTTCTCAACTCATTGCAGAACAACACGGAGACCCGGAAGTCTTACCTATATTTTCAAGAAGTGTTAGTGAAAGCGAAGTATCTCAGAACCCCACCTGTTACTTTATGAAGAATGGAGTGTCAATGAAAATGTGGAGACCACCCGATGTCCCCACAGAAGAAGAGTGGGTTGTCCAGTACCAGATGATTGTCCCAAAGACCTAAAGACCGGACGTTTTAAGCACAGAGGATGAGACCCCCTTGCCCGGCCACCTGGGTGTCAACAAAACCTGCCATAGGTTTTTAGACCATTTCTACCGGCTCAGTCTAAGGTTGAGTTGCATTGAGATACATTGACTGTTTGAATGTCTTTCCTGGTTTGACTTTTTAACTATTCGATCCATCAAAGCTAGATCGTGAAGTTTATGAACTTCACCATATTGAACCTGTTGTGCATATTGTCCTCTTCTCTTTTTTTCGCTCAAATGTCTTCCCAAGTTTGACTATTTAACCAGTTGATCCATAAAAGCTAGATTGTACAGTTTGTGCAATTCAACCTATTAAAATAGTTGTGGATATTGTAGTCTTTGATATTGTTAAGCTAGTGTGACCAATTAAAATACGTCAACCAATTAAGATGGAATAATGATTGTGGATGTATGAAAATCATATATGGGCACTGCGGTGAAGAGACGAATATAATGTATTTCTTGACCAATAAGCCGAGACCCCAAAAGCTAGAGCCCTTTTAACAGACTTGTGTTGTCCAAAAGAATAAGCAAGACCATCAGCTATAAGGCGAGAGCAAAATTCTTGATTGTAACAGGCCATTTGAGTAAACGAACCTCACGGAAAACATTAGCAAATGGCTGATATGATAGAACAACAGAAATACATATGGAAATTTCTACAGTAACTTTATAGCCATCTTTCGTCTTTTAAAAGCTAGAAGCTCAGTAGGTTCTGTCGTGTCGGTCATTGTTAAAACTGTCTCTGTTTTGATGCTATTTTTCGACATAGAAAAAGTTTGTCCGACAAAATTATTCACCAAAGAAGAAATAATTCTTTGCCAGCTTCAACAATGACCGGGGATTAATTTCAAATGATACAACAAAGGATTATGCCGACAGAAATACCGGAGGTCCAGCAAACTCGTTACATGAGGTCACACAACTCGGGTAATCTTCAGGGTAAAAATTTGCATATTTGAGCGGTCCAACGAAAAAACTCATTTCTCACAACTAATATATATTTTCACACCACAAGTATCAGCACATATTGGGCTACAAAATATGAGAGTAGGAGAGAAAACAAATTTTGGCGGCTCGCTGCTGTTTGTCTGATGCATGTTGACATTAGCTCTTGAGGTCATTTAGCTTCTTTTCAGTGACATAAGGACCAAAACATCTACAATTAAGTTTTTCTCTAGGCACTGCCAACAAAGCAAGAGCCTTTTCTCCTGATTTGAAGTCACGTTCTACAGCATCTACATCATAATTCTCTTTCAAAGACATCTCGAAAGAACTAAAATTAGCTTTAGCTAACTCACAAGCACTAAAACGCTTACTGCAAAAATCTGAATCATACTGCAAGAGATTCGTAGACTCAGTGCTGCTAGATAATAACTTCTTTTTAAGCAGTTTAAGAGGACCTCTCACAGTATGCTCAAATACACGCTCGAATAGACTGAATTCTAGAGACTCCTGTACTGACTCAGCTGCAGCAGACAGTCGTAGATGGCTACCCTCGTCCCGATCTTCCTATCTTTCGAAACAGTAGGTCCTCATCATGTTCTTCAGTGTTTGGTGCCATCTTTCGAGAGCTCTTTGACTTTCAGGGTGACATGCAGTTGACATATACTGGGTGACTCCAAGCTCGTGCATGACGTGTTGCAATATGCCACACAACATTTGAACCTTGGTCAGACTGGATAGAACTCGGGAGACTTACCGGTGTAAAGAGCTTGGTTAAAGCTCTGACCATGACCTTTGCACTGATATTTCTCAAGGGCACGGCTTCAGGAAATCTACTGGATGCACACATGATGGTCATCATATACTGGTGTCCAGACCTCTTCTTATGTAGTGGCTCTAAACAATGAACAATGATTCTTCTGCTGTATGGCTCTTGAAGGGCTGGTAGTGGCTGTAACGGTACTTTTGGAACGATCTGATTCGGTTTCTCAGCCATCTAACAAGTGTGAAACGACTTGCAGTATTGCTCCACAACTTTTCTTAGACTGAGCCGGTGTGCTTAAAACGTCCGGTCTGTAGGTCTTTGGGACAATCATCTGGTACTGGACAACCCACTCCTCTTCTGTGGGAACATCGGGTGGTCTCCACATTTTCATTGGCACTCCATTCTTCATAAAATAACAGGTGGGGTTCCGAGATACTTCGCTTTCACTAACACTTCTTGAAAATATAGGTGAGACTTCCGGGTCTCCGTGTTGTTCTGCAATGAGTTGAGAAGTTCACATCTTTTCGACCTGTTCAATTAAACTTTTCTCAGAAAGTACTTATACTGGCTGAGAGAAAGAGGTATTCGGTTGCTCGCCCGTAAGGACCTGGCTGATGGCGGTGTCAGCTAACGTTACCCCTTTTGTCTCTGGTTTGTAACCTCTTACTTATGGCTCGCGTAACGACACATTATGGGTACAGACGGAGAATTGTCCTCTCTACTGGCTCTGGAGACTTTTCTTAACCACGTTTGTCGGTGACAATAGAATTGGCAACTACTGGTGTATACTGGTGTATACTGTATACGGTGGCACCTGGTATACTTGTTACTGAATCCTCTTATTAGAACACTCGCACAAATGGACGACTTCTCAGAAAACACCAAAGTGTCACTCAACAATAGAGACTGTCAGGCTCCAGTGCCTGTCAAGATCTTGATTGGTATGGAGTTGGACGTATCAGTTGACAATGACACCGAACCATCGTGGGTGAAGGGCTGAAAAAGATCCATGACAGATTTGCAGGGGCCACTGACTTCACTCACAGCACTTGCTTGAGTCTTCTCTCTTAGAACTTGGGGAGGGGGGTGTATCTTCACCAACAGCAGTTAAAGACAATGTCGTAGCGAGAAAACCATCACGCTTAGACGCCACTCTCCACTTTTTTGAGCAGCTAGAAATCAGCCGACCAGCTTCTCTGGAAAAGTAACATGTCGGTGGCTTGATGGGCTTACCTCGATCTTGACCATGAGGAGCTGAAACGATTCCCATAATTGTTAGCAGGATTCTGCTTTGGATGTCCTCCGTCATTCTGCTGACTTCTCTGGTTTTGCGAACCATTGTGGTACCGAAGGAGGCAGAACTCTAGCAGGTGAAATTTGAAGGTGATGGGGTTTTTCCATGAAGTTCACTTTGTGCCTCAACCAAAGTTCATCTGCTAGTCGTGCACCTTTCTCTAATGTTTGTGCTTTTTGCTCATCGACGAACGCTCGGAAATCACTGTGAATGCACCTCTTAGACTCCTCTATTTAAACTAGCTTTCATTAACCTATCGTGACTCTCATCTACCCTCTGCGAATGGCATCAACGATCAAATAACTGTTCCTTACTTCTAGCAAATTCTGCATAAGTCTGACTATTGACTTTCTGACGGTCTCAGAGCCTCGGTAACTATTTCAGCACCCTTTAAAATAATATTCTTAGCAGTGTCATAACTTGCAGCTTGCTCTACACTTAGCTGTGTTTAAATTTTTCTCGCTTTACCGACTAGTACACTCTGTAATTAAATTACCCAGTAATCCGTGGGTCACTTCAGATTGCCAGCTACTTTCTCAAAGTGCGAAAAAACACTTATCAGCATCTGCTTGCTGAAATGGAAATACCAACTTAAGATATTCGAAGAAATCAAATTTCACCTTTCCTGTCTGTGCTTTTCTTCCATCCTTTCTTGTCTGTCCTTTTCATCCGTCCTTCCTTGTCTTTCCTTTTCTTCTCTTTTCAGCCTTCCTTGCATTTCTAACCTTAACAGTTCTAACTCGTTGCTGGTTTTTTTCCAGTCTTCCCTAGTTGGACTATTTAACCGTTCCATCCATGTATGATAGATTTTGCCGTTTCTGCAGTTCAAACTTTCAAGCTAAGTGTGCATATTGTGCAGTTGAAGCATTTAAGTTAGTTCGAGCATTTCACCTACCTCAGCTAGTCGAGATAGAGAGTGCAATTTGTGCAGTTTAACCGTTTCCGCTACTTTGACTATTGCAATAGTCGAAGCAATTAAGCTGATTTGTCATGAAAAAAATTCAGTTAAATCTTGCGGTATATGCAGTTGAGCAAGTTAAACTAGTTTGACCGTTTCAACCACGTGAACAATTAAGATAGATTGGGCTATTTTTGGAGTATGATTGTCCACACTAGTTTGGCTTTTCAATGATTATGTGTGATTAACCCGTATTAGTCAGTTTGACCATTTGAACTGCTTCAACCAATTCATATAGAATGAGCAATTTGTGCAGTTTGAGTGTCTTTGCTGGTTTGACCTTTCAATCAGTTGAATCGATGAGGCTACTTTGACAATCTTAACTACTTGAAACAATTCAGCTAGATTGTGCAGTTTCTGAGCAGTTTCAAGAATTATGAGTTACTTTCACATTTTGAACGACTTCAACGAATGACGATAGATTCTGCAACTTTGTTCACTAATTTGACTACCAAACCAGTGGAACAATTTCAGCTACTTGGACCATTTCAACCACTTCGACAAATTTAGCTACATTGTGGAGATTTCTAGATTGAACCTATAAAGCTTTATGCATCTTGTGCAATTAGACCACTTGAGCAAATTTGGCAAGTTGAATTCCCTCAAGGAACCGAGAAAGATTTTGCTTTTTTCTGCTGTCAGATTAACAGTCTTGGCTGGTTTGATGTTTTTGGCCAGTCGAATAGATTAAGCCAGTTAGACAATTTGAACTATTGGAACCAACTCAGCTTCATTGTGCAGTCGAAAACGTGTAGCTTGTTTGACCATTTGAGCTACCTTAAGCAGTTAAGTATTGTGCAACTTGTGCAGTTCTACAGCAACGAAATCAGTGTAGGAACACTCATTGTCTTCGGCACCGCCAACCATTACATCCAAACGTATCCTCATCTCTCTACCGAACATGAACACTACTGCGATAGGCCATCACGCAGAAATCAAGGTGCTCATCCCATGTAGCTGGATTATCTTCAACTCTAGCTTTCAACATGCTCCTTAAGGTTTAGTGCAGATTTT